AGACTTGTAGCCAAGGGGTATCAGCAGCAAGAGAAGAAGGACTACAATGAAGTGTATGCTCCTGTGGTGAAGGGTACAACCCTTCGAACCCTCTTCGCCGCGGCGGCCATCGAAGGATGGGTGGTGAAGCAAATGGATATCGTAACGGCCTTCCTCAACGGCGTTTTGGAGGAAGAAACCTACATGGAGCAGCCAGAGGGGTACAATGATGGGAGTGGCAGAGTGTGGAAGCTGAAGAAAGCACTCTATGGCCTCAAGCAAGCCCCTAGGCAATGGTACATCAAGCTGGGGGAAGTCTTGGAGGCGATCGGCTTCACTCCCTCAACGGCCGATCAATCGTTGTTCATGCTTGGCGAGGGGAGCAGAGGAGCTTCATGGTGGTTTATGTGGATGACATCCTCATATTCTCACCCTCCTCTGACCTTGTGAAGGAGGTGATGCTGAAGCTTCAAGACAAGTTCAAGTGCAAGACCCTTGGTGACGTCAACTACTACCTTGGGCTTCACATTGAGCGAGATGTGGAGAAGCGGTGGATGCGAGTGCATCAAAAGAAGTACTTGGAGGCCTTGGCTGCAAACTTTGGGAAGAGTGAAGGTCATGTGGCTACTCCTCTTCCCTCAGGGTTCAAGTGTGTGAAAGGACCAGTGGAGGAAAGTGTTGGTGATGAGGAGAGGCGCCGTTTTCACTCCTTGGTGGGCAGCCTCATGTATGCGGCCGTTCACACAAGGCCGGATGCAGCCTTTGCTACCGGGCAGCTGGCTAGGGTTGTCCAATGCCCTAATGAAGAGCAGGTAGCAGCTGGAGAGAGAGTGGCCAAGTACCTTGGCCAAACAGCAACTGTTGGACTGCAATACTCCGCGGCGGCACAAAGGCGTCAAAAGGGGGCGGATGGAGTCGAACCCGGGAGGCTCTTTCTCACCGCCTTCTCTGATGCATCTTGGGCATCAGAACCAGAGGACATGACAAGTGTGGGAGGCTTCATCTGCTGTGTTGGTGGAGGCCCAACAGCTTGGGAGAGCAAGAAGCAAGTGGACCAAGCATTGAGCTCGGTGGAGTCCGAGTACATGGCACTCTTCCGTGCCATAAGAGAGGTTGTGTGGCAGCGGCGTTTGCTAGCTGAATTGGGGGAGGAGCAGCAAGGACCTACCCCACTCTACTGTGATAGCCAGGGTGCTATTGCATTGGCTAAGAACCCGGTTCTTCATGGCCTTACCAAGCACATGAAGGTGAAGTGGCATTGGGTGAGGAGCATGGTAACCGCGGGTGAAGTGGAGTTGCACTACGTGAAGCAACGACGCAGCCAGCTGATATGATGACCAAGAGGCTGGTTGAGCAGCAGCATTGGAAGTGTTGCAAGCTTGCTGGGATGGCTCTGAACTAAGGGGAGCAGATTCTAAGGCCAACAATCCGAGGGGGAGTTTGTTGGTGCAACCCTATGGCTTGCACTCGGCTTGTCGTCCTTGTTTGTGTGTGTGCATGCATGGCATGGAATGAATTGTGAGTCTATGTCATTGCTATCCAGTGCTTGTGTGTGTGTTTGAATGGTGTATCACAATGTGGTTTGTGTCGGTCAAGAATTAGCGAGTTTTTACAACTCGCATGTCAAGTCGTCGTTTGTGTGTCGCATGTGTTTTTTCTATTTTGTCGAGTGTGAAGTGTCCATCGTGTCGCAGGTGTGTGCAGCAAGCCCCCATCAACTCAAGAAGAATTTATCTTGCAGATCCAGGAACAAGAGCTCAAGATTTCAAGCCCAAGGGACGCGGATAAATATTAAATAGTGAAAATAGTAACGTTACTTCGTGTAGTGTTACATTTCACTTGGTGTAGCCCCTTGGAGGGTTGGTTTCGAGACTCTTCATGGTTGGGGACCCTGTGGTGGTGTACCACCAACCTGGACCTCGGCTCTTGGGGTATGTAGAGGCTGGGAACCATTTCCCTCTCGAACTCTTCTTGCTAAGTTTGTACTCCTAAGACTATAGTGGCTGCTATACCTCCTGCCAGTCAAACCGCCATAGCGTCGTCAAATCTTCATGGAATTTCATGATTCAACTTGCTGCTGATAGACGACAGCACCGCGCTCCAGATCCAATTTACAGATTACCGTTTGATTCAGTGACCAGATCGTTATCAATATTTGAAGCCGTCTGACGGAAATCCGACTGTGCTCTCTATCTCTCATTATAGGCACATCTAAGCCTATTGTGATTATAACAGACGGGAGCCAGTGGTGCTTACTGGACACACAGACACGTCGTGGGCCGGCGACTTGGAGATGCTCAGGTCGTCTCAGGGCTACTGCTTTAGTCTTGGTACTGGTGTAGTCTCGTGGAGGTCCACCATGCCGTTGTCTGTAGCTTTGTCCAGTTGTGAGGCAGAGATCTACGCAGGGGCCATTGCCGCTCAGGAGCTCCGCTGACTGACATTCTTGCTCACTGACTTAGGTGAGCAGCCTAGGTGTGCCCCGGTCCTGTTTGCTGACAACAGGGCCATGATCCTCTTGTGTCAGGAGGCTCGACTTGAGGGCAGGGTGAAGCACATCCAGCTGCGGTACTTCCTGCTGCAAGAGTTGCAGCAGCGCGGTCAGGGTCGTGTAGTACAGTTGGCCTCAGAGGCCAACACCTCTGATATCTTCACCAAGGCACTTGCGCCTCGTGACCATCAGCGGTTCTGTACTCAGCTTGGTCTAGCCTCAATAGCAGCACCACTTCCTTGTATCCTAAGTCATACTATACCTTTATGTACGTGTTGTTCGATATCTGCTTGTCTTGCTACCCTTGCTGACTGGCCTTGTGGCCTCTTGTCTCAATGGTCAGACTAGTGGTGCTGCCCTGAGTTTTCTTATTACCATAAAAGCCCGGATATAAGACCTATGTGTCTTATCACATAACACCATTCAAAACTGCATTTGATCTTATAAACGGAAAAAAATGGGGCATTTGGGTATCTTATAAACGGAACCCTCATAAGTTCATTGGAAAAAGGGCCCGAGAAGTGAACCAAAACATATCGAGTAATCTGATAATGAGGATTCAGCGATAAGGGGAAATTTTGCGGAAGTCAATTGTGACGGTAAAACACGTGTGATGAAGATGCGAATGCCTGCAACAAGACCCCGCTCGGGCTTAATCCCAATCGTTCATCGTCTCAGTCAATAAAACTCGTTTGTGGAGACCCAGTTCTTGCTTCGCAGGAATAAAAAACACTACAGAAGGGGGGGTCTTATCTCATACCGCCTTGAGGGTGTCTTATTAACGGGAATTCCGAATAGAAGATAGACGCCTAGAAGAAGACCCTGGGTCTTCTATTACTAGGGGGTCTTCTATCCGGGCTTTTACGGTACTCTCACCGAAGGTCAAAATAGTAGTGCTGCCCTGGTGTACTTTTCTTTGTTATGAACTGGCATTATCTCGACTAGGGTGTGTGTCAACAAGTACCGTATTCCCCCACATAAAACACCCGCCGGAATTAATCACCCATGGGTGGTTTGGGCGGACCTGGATGCTTTATTAAACAGGATATTCATACCACCCTAGTTTTTGGCATGAAACCTATACACCACCCCCCTGGTTCATTTTCAATGGATTTCTGTAGATTTTGCCTCGTATCAGAGTGTCTCTTATCAGACTCGCGCGTCACTGAGCAGTGCAAGCTCGATGTGAAGTGGTTCAATGCGGTGTAGAACTGTTACCATGCTTGGAATTCGCGTCACTCAGGCGAATGTTGTGAGTCTGATACTGTACGAGGCTCATGGGAACACGCTCCTCATAGTCAACACTTTGCAGTGCGGGAGAATCCATGCCGGTCAGCCCTGGTTGGGTCGTGAAGGAATCTGCAGCAGATTCCTTCCAGCTTTGGTGCGCTGTCACATTGTGGCATCGAGGTTGCCACTTGCCACCACGATTTGACAGAACGTGACAACCTGTGATGCAGGCAACCTATGACTGTTTGCCTGCAACGTGGCATGACGATAGTCCTCACCATATACGCGATCACGTGCAATCGTCAAAATTCGGCACAAAAGAACTGTCTACAACACAGTTCAATTCCAGTTCATAAACATAAAATTGTCATTCCATAGCCCCCGGGCGTTATACAAAAAGTGCCACTTATTCCACCCCCACTAAAATTTGCATCAAAATTTAGTGTCACCCGTGGGTGTTTTATCCAGGGGAATACGGTATAATTATCTAGGCTAGCTAGTTTGTATTTGTTATAGCCTTAGCTAGGTCAGATCTTAGAGGGTACATGTCCTACCTTTGTAACCCTCGCTGTTTTCCCTTAGTCCCACTATACTCTCGACAATCTAACACATAATCTACAAGAAAAACAGAAAACAATCATGCTCTCGCACCCATGCAAGGTCTCCACCCACATTAAAAAAAAAAAAAAATTAGCCGGCAATCCCAGTGAGTCACACACCACCAGCTGTACCCTTCCCAGCAATGCAGTGTTCCTTCAGCTTCATGGAAGAAAGGATGCTGTCCGGGATAACCAAGAGTAGATACATGAACCCGAACGTGCTGACACAGATGCCAGTAACCCAGTAGCACCACTGCACAAGGGAAGGAAGGGAAAGGAAGAAAGACATGGGATTGGATGTACAAATATATGCTCTGTAAATAGTGAAAGGAACATGAAAACAGGTGGTAACACCGTGCCACAAAGTTGTATACGGACGATTGAATCCATAAAATCGGAAACACATCTGAATCCCCTCCCTCTAAATCACCCCTTTTACTTGCACACTTCACCGCACCACTCGCCTGGAATGCAGAAGAGGCAGAAAACCACGCACACATTCCGAACAACTCATCGTGACGTTTTCCATAAACTTGGTGTGATACAAGGCGATACCCAGAAACATCGCCGTCTACGCGAGCGCAATTTTCGTGGCTCCGATCATGCAGTGCGCCATGAGCCACTTGAAGAGGTTCGGTGCGGTCTTGTCCGGCCGTATGAACCCCACCACGGCCTGCAGCAGTGCGAGAATGACCGCCGCCAGCCCCACCTGCCCATGCGTCCAGCTGAGCCCCTTGGAGCCCGCCTGCACGAATATCACAATCATCCCCGCCACTGCAACCACTAGAGCCGACAGCTGAATCCCCCGGTGCAGCTGAAACCCCAGCGGCCGCAAGTCCTTCCGCTGTTGAGGTTGAGGAGGGCCCCGTGGGGGCGGTCGGCGAGGAGGAGGCGGGCAAGGAGGATGGCGAGGGGCATGAGCAGGGCGAAGGCGAGGGCGAGGAGGACCCCGTGGGCGATATACGCCGCTGTGCTGCTGCCCTGGCCAGCGGTCGATGTGCCCTTCACGAAGTCTATTGAGGCTGACCCGCTGGTGGTAGAGAGAACAGGGAGAAGACGAGGGAGGGGGGGGAAAGGATGGGGGAGGGGGAAATGAGGGGAAAGAATATGAAATTTGATATAATGCCACGCATATCACCGAACGCCATGAATATTATCTAATGCATGTAGATAACCTGATGCCATGTATAGAATCTAATGTCATGTCAAATTGCCTCATGTCATGCATACAACCGTGCACCACACCAAGACTCACTAGTTGCTGCGGTGGCCAACCAGAGAGGTGGAGCCATCGGACCAATCGGTGCAGATGATGGTGGAGGAGAGAGAATGGGGGAGAGAGAAGAGGGGAGAGAGAAGAGGGGAGAGAGAAGAGTGTAGAGAGAAGAGGGAAGAGAAGAGGGGAGAGAGAAGAGGGAGAGAGAAGAGGGGAGAGAGAAGAGGGGAGAGAAAAGAGGGGAGAGAGAAGAGGGAGAGAGAAGAGGGGGGAGAAAAAGAGGGGAGAGAGAAGAGGGGAGAGAAAAGAGGGGAGAGAGAAGAGGGAGAGAGAAGAGGGGAGAGAGAAGAGGGGAGAGAAAAGAGGGGAGAGAGAAGAGGGGAGAGAGAAGAGGGGAGAGAAAAGAGGGAGAGAGAAGAGGGGGGAGAGGAGAGGGGAGAGAGAAGAGGGGCTGCACATTCTACCCCGCCATGCTACCTCACCTTACGGTGTGCCATCCCATGATGGTGGTGCGGGAACATGCCATGCTACAATACCGTACTGTATGCCATCCCATGATGGCGGTGCGGGCACATGCCATGCTACAATACCGTACTGTATGCCATCCCATGATGGTGGTGCGGGCACATGCCATGCTACAATACTGTACTGTATGCCATCCCATGCCATCTTATCGCTTACAAGTTGCTGGCGTGGAAAGCGAGAGCCATGGAACCGTCGGGCGAGTAGGCCCAGATGATGGTGGTGGGGGCCGAAGCATCGATGGGCACGTGGCCCATGCCCATGCTGCGAGTGAACCTGGGGGGAGGAGGGAGGGGTTAGGGAGGACGAAGGCTTCCCTAACGAGGGGGGGAAGCCAAAAGTTTACCTCACTATAATGCCACACGCCAATTTTCTTCTAGGAGAACAGCAGTGCGACATCAAAATAGTCTTACACCATTGTAGTGTATCCATTAGAAGTCGTAACCCAAGTGTTTGTAATGCTCCACGTGTCAGTCAGCTGAACCGACCCCACGTCACGCCCACCCAAGAAATACACCCCTACTGCCGCCCCGTTGGCCTACGAAGCCCGTGGTGGCGACCTGCGCTGCCATGCTGACTGTGCTGTCTTAATTCACAGCCCAGTGGAGGGTGTAGCTGAGGGGGACGAGACAGGAGTTGAGGGGGACGAGACATGAGGCGAGGTGAGGAGAGCATAGGAGAGCAGAGGGCAGAAGAGCACGTGCAGACTGAGAGGGGAAGGAATGGGGAAGGAATGGGGAAGGGACGGGGAAGGAACAGTGACTGTAGAATGAAGAACGGGCTAATGGTGAGAGGAGTTTAGTGCTGAGAAGCTTGAATGCAGAATGAAGGATGGACTGATGCTGAGAGGAGTTTAGTCACACTCACGCGTTCTTGCTGAGCTGCACGGAGCACGTGTAGCCCGGCAGGGAGGACGGCTGGCAGCCAGACCCATTGGCCTGCGAGGACGACCCGCTGCTCCCTCCACTGCCGCTGCTGCCATTGCTGCTCCCGCCGCTGCTGCTGTTGCTGCCGCTGCTGCCGTTGTTGCCGCTGCTGCTGCCGCTGAAAGAGGGGCAGCTGTAGTCTACAGACAGGGATCCCCTGGGGGGAGGGAGAGAGCCAGAGAAGAGGAGAAGAGGAGAAGAGGAGAAGAGGAGAAGAGGAGAAGAGGAGAAGAGGAGAAGAGGGGAAGAGGAGAAGAGGAGAAGAGGAGAAGAGGAGAAGAGGAGAAGAGGGGAGAGGGGAAGTGGACAAGAGGGGGAGAAGGGGAGAGGGGGAAAGGGGTGGAAGAACTTCAGGAGAAGCAAGGCGGACCTGACCCATTGGCCTGGGAAGTGGACTCGCTACAGCCACTGCTGCTGGAAAAGGGGCAGCTGTAGTCTAGACTCTACTGACAGGGATCCCCTGGCGGCAGGCGAAGGCATAGAAGGGGAGAAGAGGGGTGGAGGAACGTGAAGAGAAGGGCATAGAACGCCATAGTAAGGTATAGAAGCGCATAGAGGGGTGTAGAAGTGGGGTAGAAAAAGGTAAAGAGGGGCATAGAGGGGTATCAAAACGTATAGAAGGGCATAGAGGGTGCAGAATTTAGAAGGGTTACACAGGGCTTAGAAGAGTATAGAAGAGCAAGTGTGCACTTGTTGGTTGGCAGGTGCTGCGCGAGGGTCTGAAACCCATCGGAGTAGGCCCAGATCATTGAATTAATTCCCTTCAGCAACACCTTTGTTTTGCCATCGTTAACAGACCGTGAGAACCTGCAACGAGGAGTGCAACAAAAGGGGGTAACAGAAGGCCTGCGTGTTTGCTACAGTGGTAAAGCGAGAATGCTCAGACAGCGGTAGCGCATGGCTGATAGCAAGCTGTGCGACAGCGTCGCGCGAGTCCCAGACAGCACGAGCAAGCACAACAGCGGAAAAGGCCTCGCGCTCAGCAGTCGTGGGGGCATCAGGGAGGGCAGCAGGCGCAGGGGGGAGGGAAAGCAGGCCATCAATATGAACAGCCAGGGGTTGACCGTCCTGGCGCTGACCTGTAAGCTGGCGTCGAAGGTCGACCAGCCACGCCTCAAAGTCAAGCGCCCGACCCTCTGCGTCCAGACGGAGCTGTGACTCCGCCATCGCCACTGCTGCTGCTGCTGACGGCCGCTGACAGGGTGAAGAGGATAGGCAGAGCAAGCGGTGGAGTGCAGTGTAGTGCGGTTGAGTGCGATGGAGAGCGGTGGAGTGCGGTGGAGAGTGGTGGAGTGCGGTGTAATACGATGGAGTGCGGTGTAGTGCGGTGGGGAGCGGGGGAGATCAGTGGAGAGAGCCAGTAAGGGAGCCGGCACTGAAGGGAGCCAGAGCCGGTGGGTCGGCGCTGTGACTTTACGGCCTGGCGGCTGGCCGCTAAAGTGGGGGGCGGCTGGGCTGGAGCTGGCCGGCTGGCTGGCGAGAGGCCGACGAGGCACACGGGGCCGACGGGGCGCTAGCGGGGTCGGTAAGGCGCCAACGGGGCCGGCGGGGTGCTAACAGGCTGGCGGGGCGAGCAGGGCAGGAGAGGCGCACGAGGCCGACGAGGCGCTAATGTTGTTCACGGGGCGCGAACGGGGCTGGAAGGGTGCTAACGGGGCTGGAAGGGCGCTAACGGGCCGGCGGGGTGAGCAGGGCTAGAGGGGCGCACGGGGCCGACGGGGCGCTAACGGGGCCAACGGGGCGCACAGGGCCAGACGGCGCAAGTGGGGCTGGCAGGGCGTTAACAGGCCAGAGGGGGTGCACGGGTCCGACGGAGCGCTAACGGGGCCAAAAGGGCGCTACAGGCCAACGGGGCGCTAACGGGTCGGCCGGGTGAGCAGGGCCAGAGGGGCGCAACGGGGCCAACGAGGCGCACGGGGCCGACACGGCGCTAACGGGCCGACGGGGCACTAACGGGCCGACGGGGCACTAACGAGCCGACGGGGCGCTAACGGGGCCAACGGGGCGCACAGGGCCGACGGGGAACTAACGGGCTGACGGGGCGCTAACGGGCCTGTGGGGCGAGTAGGGCCAGAGGGGCGCACGAGGGTCGACAGGGTGCAAACGGTCGGACAGGGGCGCTCACTGGGCCAACGGGGTGCACGGGGCCGACGAGACGCTAACGGGCCGACGAGGCGCTAACGGGCCGACGAGGCGCTAACGAGCCTACGGGGCGACTAGGACTAGGACGAGAGCGGAACCGCAGGTGGGCGGGGAGGATCTAACCTAGCGCGTGATACCATCTTAGAGTAGAAATCGTTAACTAGAATGAGGCATACTGGTTGTTTTTTGTTCAAGTATTTGTACCCTCTAAGAGCAGGTGTAAGGAATGGGGAAGGAATGGGGAAGGAACGGGGAAGGAACAGTGACTGTAGAATGAAGAACGGGCTAATGGTGAGAGGAGTTTAGTGCTGAGAAGCTTGAATGCAGAATGAAGGATGGACTGATGCTGAGAGGAGTTTAGTCACACTCACGCGTTCTTGCTGAGCTGCACGGAGCACGTGTAGCCCGGCAGGGAGGACGGCTGGCAGCCAGACCCATTGGCCTGCGAGGACGACCCGCTGCTCCCTCCACTGCCGCTGCTGCCATTGCTGCTCCCGCCGCTGCTGCTGTTGCTGCCGCTGCGGCCGTTGTTGCCGCTGCTGCTGCCGCTGAAAGAGGGGCAGCTGTAGTCTACTGACAGGGATCCCCTAGGGGGAGGGAGAGAGCCTGAGAAGAGGAGAAGAGGAGAAGAGGAGAAGAGGGGAAGAGGAGAAGAGGAGAAGAGGAGAAGAGGGGGAGAGGGGAAGAGGAGAAGAGGGGGAGAAGGGGAGTGGGGGAGAGGGGTGGAAGAACTTCAGGAGAAGCAAGGCGGACCAGACCCATTGGCCTGGGAAGTGGACTCGCTACAGCCACTGCTGCTGGAAAAGGGGCAGCTGTAGTCTAGACTCTACTGACAGGGATCCCCTGGCGGCAGGCGAAGGCATAGAAGGGGAGAAGAGGGGTGGAGGAACGTGAAGAGAAGGGCATAGAACGCCATAGTAAGGTATAGAAGCGCATAGAGGGGTGTAGAAGTGGGGTAGAAAAAGGTAAAGAGGGGCATAGAGGGGTATCAAAACGTATAGAAGGGCATAGAGGGTGCAGAATTTAGAAGGGTTACACAGGGCTTAGAAGAGTATAGAAGAGCAAGTGTGCACTTGTTGGTTGGCAGGTGCTGCGCGAGGGTCTGAAACCCATCGGAGTAGGCCCAGATCATTGAATTAATTCCCTTCAGCAACACCTTTGTTTTGCCATCGTTAACAGACCGTGAGAACCTGCAACGAGGAGTGCAACAAAAGGGGGTAACAGAAGGCCTGCGTGTTTGCTACAGTGGTAAAGCGAGAATGCTCAGACAGCGGTAGCGCATGGCTGATAGCAAGCTGTGCGACAGCGTCGCGCGAGTCCCAGACAGCACGAGCAAGCACAACAGCGGAAAAGGCCTCGCGCTCAGCAGTCGTGGGGGCATCAGGGAGGGCAGCAGGCGCAGGGGGGAGGGAAAGCAGGCCATCAATATGAACAGCCAGGGGTTGACCGTCCTGGCGCTGACCTGTAAGCTGGCGTCGAAGGTCGACCAGCCACGCCTCAAAGTCAAGCGCCCGACCCTCTGCGTCCAGACGGAGCTGTGAATCCGCCATCGCCACTGCTGCTGCTGCTGACGGCCGCTGACAGGGTGAAGAGGATAGGCAGAGCAAGCGGTGGAGTGCAGTGTAGTGCGGTTGAGTGCGATGGAGAGCGGTGGAGTGCGGTGGAGAGTGGTGGAGTGCGGTGTAATACGATGGAGTGCGGTGTAGTGCGGTGGGGAGCGAGGGAGATCAGTGGAGAGAGCCAGTAAGGGAGCCGGCACTGAAGGGAGCCAGAGCCGGTGGGTCGGCGCTGTGACTTTACGGCCTGGCGGCTGGCCGCTAAAGTGGGGGGCGGCTGGGCTGGAGCTGGCCGGCTGGCTGGCGAAAGGCCGACGAGGCACACGGGGCCGACGGGGCGCTAGCGGGGCCGGTAAGGCGCCAACGGGGCCGGCAGGGTGCTAACAGGCTGGCGGGGCGAGCAGGGCAGGAGAGGCGCACGAGGCCGACGAGGCGTTAACGTTGTTCACGGGGCGCGAACGGAGCTAGAAGGGCGCTAACGAGTCGGCAGGGCGCTAACGGGTCGACAGGGCGCTAACAGGTCGGCAGGGCGCTAATGGGGCGGCGGGGTGAGCAGGGCCAGAGGGGCGCACGGGGCCGATGGGGCGCTAACGGGGCCAACGGGGCGTACAGGGCCAGAGGGCGCAAGCGGGGCCGGCAGGGCGTTAACAGGCCAGAGGGGGTGCACTGGGCCGACGGAGCGCTAACGGGGCCAGAAGGGCGCTACAGGCCAACAGGGCGCTAACAGGTCGGCCAGGCGAGCAGGGCCAGAGGGGCGCAACGGGGCCAACGGGGCACACGGGGCCGACAGGGCGCTAACGGGCCGACGGGGCACTAACAGGCCGACGGGGCGCTAACAGGGCCAACGGGGCACACAAGGCCGACGGGGCACTAACGGGCCTGCGGGGCGAGTAGGGCCAGAGGGGCGCACGAGGGCCGACAGGGTGCGAACGGGCCGACAGGGGCGCTCACAGGGCCAACGGGGTGCACGGGGCCGACGAGACGCTAACGGGCCGACGAGGCGCTAACAGGCCAGCGGGGCGACTAGGACTAGGACGAGAGCGGAACCGCGGGTGGGCGGGGATGATCTAACCTAGCGCGTGATACCATTTTAGAGTAGAAATCGTTAACTAGAATGAGGCATACAAGTTGTTTTTTGTTCAAGTATTTGTACCCTCTAAGAGCAGGTGTGTCTCTTCAGCAGCTCTGCCTTCACAGAGGCCAGTGCGTCCCTGTCTGCCGTAGCGAAGACCAGGTCGTCTACGTAAACAAGGATGTAGAACGGGGTCTGGCAAGCACAAACGAAGAGCGAGGGGTCTGCAGAGGACGGAAAGAACTGCAGGTCAGCAAGCGTAGCACGCAGCGTGCCGGGCCACTCACGGGGAGCCTGGCGCATGTCGTAGACAGGGCGCCACAGGAGCCACTGGGTCCCAGGAGGGAAGGTACTAGTGAAGCCCTGAGGGCGGTGCAAGTAGACCTGCTCGTGTAGACTGCCCTGAAGAAACGCAGTGGAGAAGTCGAGGGAGTTAAGCTCGTAGTCACGCTGAGCTGCTACATGTAGCAGCACCCAAAGAGTAGTCATCTTCGGGGTCGGAGCGAAGGTCTGGAAGAAGTCCACCCCCTCACGCTGACTGAAACCTCTAGCCACGTAGCGCGCCTTGAACACAGGCGGCTCTCCAGGAGGGCGCTTCACCTTGAAGAGCCAGCAGCCATCGACTACGTTCACCCCAAGTGGGGGAACTGCGTCGACGAAGGTGCCGGTGGATCTCCAAGATGCCATCTCCAACTCCATGGCAGCTATCCACTGAGAGGCCCAGGGTCCCGAGACCGCCTCAGCGTAAGTGCGAGGGGTCGGGATGTCGAAAGCGTCGGGGTCACCCTCAGGGACTAGAAGCATAGAGCAGAGATGGGGAGTAGCCTCGGACAGGAAAGCAAGCTCGTACTGGCGGTCCTCCAGTACGTCACTGCCGAGGGCAGGACCACCCCCGACAGACGGAGGACAGGCAGGGTCAGAGACCAGAGCGGTGGCATAGTCAAGGTGGCGGGTCAAAGTGCCAGTCAGACGCGTCAAGGGGGAAGCTGAGGAAGACACAGGGCAGGGTGCGGGCAGTGAGCTTGTCCATGCCAGAGGTACGAACGTGTGCAAGGCAGCCCCAGACGTGAAACGCAGACGCATCACCAGGGGACCCAGACCAAAGAAGGGTCGGCGAAACTTGAGGTTGCTGGGGGTGCGGCCACATGTTAAGCTAGTGAGCGGCGTAGCGAACGGCGAACGGCCACAGAAAATGGGGTGCACCAGCATGGATCATGGAGGTGCAAGCCACCTCCATGAACAATCCGATGCGTCACTCAGCAACCCCATTCTGTTGCGGGGAGTCCGGTAGGGTGTACGACTGGATGATGCCCTCCGCACGACAAAACTGTCCAAGCCTACCAGAGGCAAACTCGCCACCATGGTCAGAGTGGAGACACAGCACAGGGAGACCGTTGTGGAGGCGCGCACCTACGACCCACGAGATAAGAACGGCAGGCACATCCGCCTTCCGCTCCAGGGGAAACACCGTGGTGTAGCGCGTGTAGTCGTCGACAAGCACTAGCAAGTAGCGCTCTAACGCGGCCCATGGACGGGGGCGAGGCTGTGACATGTGCAGAGTCTGTAGCGGTGCTGCGGTAGGGGGAAAAGAGGAGGAGTGAGGGGCACGGCGGAGCCGGCCCTCGACACAGGGCGTGCAAGGTGGGGCTGGGGAGGAGGGAAACTCGGGGAACGACTCGAGGAGGCCTAGGACGAGACCGTGCTATGACATGTGACGCAGATGCGGGAGCGCAGGGTGACCTAGGCGGTGGTGCCAGAGAAGAGTCGGGTGGGTAAGAGACCGACAGGAGCAGGCAGCAGCAACCGGGGGAGACGCAGCCACCTGAGGGGGGGTCCGAGCCGGGGGGGTCACCGTGTCCAGTGTGAAAAGACCGGACACTGGGTCCCGGGGGAACGTGGACAGGGGGGCACAAGTGGCGGCCTCGGTACAGACAGCGTACCGCTCGTGTCCAGGGAACGTAGTGGTGACGCCAAGATCCCGAAGGCAGCCGACACCAGATAGGTTCCTGGAGAACGAGGGGATGTGCAGTCCTGTGAGCGAGCCTGAAGTAACCGCTGGGCAGGGGAGGGTGGTGGAATTGCGGGCAACTACAGCGCTGGAGGAGGGGTCAGCAAGAGAGACTGCGGCAGGGATAGGAAGCGGTGTCAACGTTGTGGAGTCGTGGAAGAAGCACCGGGAAGCGCCAGAGTCGAGGGTGAAGGAGAGCGCGGCAGTGGCGGCCGGAAGCGAAGCAGCGACGGAAGCACCAAGGCTGAACACAGCAGGGGATCCTACGCCTGACGCAGCAGGGGAGGCTAAGCAAGGCACACCTACACTAGGCAACAAGGGGTAATAAGACGGAAGCACACTAGAGTCATCAGCATACATCACATGCAGAGCAGCAACAATCTCATCCATATCCATATCAAAAATCCAAACCCTACGACGAAGCAAGCTGTGCCAGTCTGGAAGCTCGGGCGACGGGCCGAAGCGCTGACGAAACAGGTCGTCCAGGCGACTGAAACTGCGGACGGAGGTGTGACTGATCTTACCGCAAACGAAGCCACAGCGAGGACCAGTCTGGAGCAGGTACTGACAGCGTGCGTCACCCGAACCACCACCCGGCAGCCCACCACGCGCACCACTATCACGTCCTGCGCTTCCACCGGCGCCAGGCCACCCGGGCGGGAGACCACTCGCCCGTCTCTGCTGCTGCTGCGGCTGCTGTGACTGCTGCGGCTGCTGTGGCTGACGCGAGTCCGGCTGCAACACCGGCCGCTGCTGAGACGGCTGCTCGGCTGCACCTGTCAGGGTCCCCTCGTCCGCACCACCCCCAGGAGACCCAGCTCCAGCACCACCTACACCGTCACCCCCACCCCCGCCGCCACGTCCAGCCTTGGGGCGGCGACCCTTCCCTGGACGGACCTGTGTTGCAGCGGCAATCTCAGCCACAGCAGCAGAACCGTCGGAGAAGGCAGTGCAAGCAGCACGCCAGGTCTCATCTATAGTGCACAGGTGAGCGGCCAGGTCAGCGACAGTGGGGAACGACGCAAGGTCAGGGAAGAGCATGGGGAGGATCAGACGACCTACCGAGGCAGCACGCGGGGTGGAATAGCGCTGAACAACAGCATCTAGGAAAGCCTGGGTAGTGGTGATAGACCTGAAGCGAGGTCGCTCGGACAGGGGGAGGGTATTGCTAATGGCAAGCTGTGCGACAGCGTGACAGGACAGCCAGACAGAGCGAGCAAGGGCAGCGTCCGCAACGGACTCACGCTCAGCGGACGAAGGATCAATAGAGAGTGCAGCGGGGGGGTCA